GCACCAGTGCCCCATGTTCTGGGGCTCCAACAGGGGTTGGAAGGAGTACCACCTGGCAGATGGCTCACGAAGGGATCAGGGAGCTGTCCGTGGTGCTGACCGATGGCTTGGGACAGGTCCTTCTTTACTATGGAGCGCCCCCTGGGTGTTCTCCATGCATTGCACAGGTAACTTGACTTCCCAGTGACCGTCCCTCACAGGTGAGGAGGGCCTGGGTGGCATGATAGTTAAGTGCTTGGCTGCTGACTTGAAGGCTGGAGGTTCAAACCCTTTGGCCTCTGCCTGGGAGTAAGATGAGACAGTCACATCTGCAAATGAGAGTCTGGCAAACCCTGTGAGCAGTTCTCTGCCCTGGAGCTGGCTGAGTCCCGTCCACTCATGGCCCTGCCTTTCAGTTGAGAAATCGAGACACAGGTTAAGTTGTCCCTTTGCAGGGTCACATAGCTGGTAAGTGACAGAGATGCGGCCAAGCACCTTGGGGACAGCAGTGGCCACACCACTGTGATCCTGTTTATCGACCCTCTTCTACCAGGAGGTGGGCTTAAACTCCATGCAGAAGGCAGAGCCTGGGAGCAGAGGGGCGCTGTCTCCCCATTACAGATGGGGGGAGCTCTATGAAGTCAGGAGAGGGGAGTACCCCCATTATAGATGAGGAGGGGCTCCGTGCAGCCAGGAGAATGTAGTGCCCCCCCATTACAGATGAGGAAGGGCTCTATGCAGTCAGTGGAGGGGAGTGTCTTCCCATTATAGATGGGGAGGGGCTCTGCGCAGCCAGGAGAGGGGAGTGTTCCCCCTTTACAGATGGGGAGGCACTCTGTGTAGTCTGGGGAGGGGAATATCCCCCCATTACAGATGAGAAGGGTCTCTATGCAGTCAGTAGAGAGGAGTGTCTCCCCATTATAGATTGGCAGGGGCTTTGTGAAGCCAGAAGAGGGGAGTGTCCCCCCATTACAGATGGGGAGGGGCTCTGTGCAGTCAGAAGAAGGGAGTGTCCCCCCATTATAGATAGGGAGGGGCTCTGTGCAGTCAGAAGAGGAGGGCTATCTCCCCATTACAGGTGGAGAAGGGCTCTGTGCAGTCAGGGATTCTGTCCCCCCATTACAGATGAGGAGGGGATCTGTGCAGTCAGGAGAGGAGGGCTATCTCCCCATTACAGGTGGAGAGGGGCTCTGTGCAGTCAGGGATTCTGTCCCCCCACTACTGGTGGGGAGGGCCTCTGTGGAGCCAGGAGAGGAGGGCTGTCTCCCCATTATGGTTGAAGTTACTCCGCATGGAGAGGGGCTCTGTCCCCCCATTATAGAAGAAGTCACTTCTGTGCAGGACAATGTGTACTTCCATGTATATGGTCAAGGTTGGACTCCATGCAATCAGAAGAAGGATGCTATATCCGGGCTGCACTCATGGGCACCGCCCTTCTGACCCGGCGTGCCCACGGCTGCCCATGGCTGTGAGCGAGGTATCACGTGCTGGCTTTGTCTCGAACCTTGAGAACAGCTGCCTTCATGTTGAGACAGGACAGGTGGATAGAGGTGGTTTTGTGGGGTACTGCTGTGTTTCTGGGCATTTGGCAGCTGTGCGATGAGGCTGCTCTCACCTCCAGGTTGTGACCCATGGCCATCATATCCCCCACTTGCTGATGAACCCATGAGATTTCAGCCTCTGGACTCCTGGTCCTGTTCTCATCACCTCCCTGTAGCCAGTCCACACACTCAAGGCCCCTCCCTTGCTCCCTCTCTTCCCTTGGCCCCTGCACCAGGCCTTACCCCTGCCCAGACTCTAAACCCACCAGAGTGTGGGTACACTGTGGCCCTCAGGGCACCCCGGCCTCAATGTTCCCTTGCTGTTCACAGACCTGTAGGTGTAGTGAGCACAAATCCCTCCCACAGTCTTCAGCAGTGATGCACGCCCTGGTCCTCTGCTGGGGTAAGGGCTTCTCCAGAGTCCCCAGTTCTGACCTATGCCACGAAAAGCACTGTCTGTGCTCTGCCTCCCTGTGCCAGGGCTCCACGTCACGGCCCCTTCACAGCCCACAGTCCACAGTGGATTTCAGCAGCCCTTCTGGTGGAAATATCCTTTGTGGTTTATAGTCTGTGAGAACCCACTTACAGGGTCAATTCTGAATGGGTTCTGATGGGATGTTACCTGACAGCAACAGTGTATAGATAGAGGGGTTGGGGTGCCTGCCTGGAGGAGAGGAAGGGCCAGCCTACTGAGTTGCTGGGAGAAGGGCATACGTCCAGTGTTGTCTTGGGACGATCTCCAGGATGCTTGGCCAGCTCCTACTTGAGCCTGTCACCTCGTGGAGAAACTTTGCTGAAAGAGGCTGTTTTCTGGCCACGCTGCAGTAGTGCTGTCTGGCACAGGCTGGCTTCTGGGACCTCTGCGGGGGCCCAGCCCTGCTTGCATAGGCAGCCTTCTTCCTGGCCATGTGCCTGGTGACCTGCACCATGCCATGGCATGTTCTCCTGCGCCCAGAATGTGCTGAGGGGACACTACCTCCTTCATCTCTCCTTGTCCACTGCTCTCTCTGGAGAGCCCTGTGCTGGCCTCCAGGAAGGTGTGAGGACAGTCTGTGACCTGGAATGGTAGGGTTGCTGCCTCTGACCTCGGGGACATGCGTGCATTTGGCATGTGTGAAGAGCTCCTTTCACACACCTGATGGCTCCAGTACCTTGCACAGCCAACAATGTCCACTCTCTTCATGGGCTGACTTGTGCCTCAGCAGTGGATGAGCGAGCAGCTTTCCAAGTCAAGGCCCACTTTACAGATCAGAGGTGCCCACCTGCCCAGGTGAGGGAGAGCTTACCTGCCCAGGTGGGAAGCACGCACCTGCCCAGGTGAAGGAGATGCTAACCTGCCCAGGTGGGAGGCACGCACCTGCCCAGGTGAGGGAGATGCTTACCTGCCCAGGTGAGTGGCATTCACTTGTAGAGCAGAGATGCTGATCAAAGTGCCATGACACATTTGTGATGTGGGAGCAGAACTGCTGACAGCACCCAGCTTCTGACAGGGCCCTGAGTGTGCAGCAAAGCAGCTTCTAGAAAAATGGTTAAAACCTGCTGTGTGTGGAAGGCTGCCAGGATCAAGTGTCCTGGGCTCTAGCTGAGCAGTGGCCAAGCCCTAGACTGAGCTCTGTGGCCATGCAGGCTGGCCTCTGGGCTGACAGGAACACTGGGAACTGGACAGGCATCCAGGGCCGGAGAGTTCCTACAGAGCGGGGCTCCAGGGGGCTGATTTGGAAAAGGTTTCCTGCAGGACTGTGGGGACAGGAGGCAAGTAACAGGTACCCCAGACCGTGGAATATTTTCAACAGATCCTCACACAGGTCCTACCTCAGGTGGATCCTTGATGAGTGACCAGTGAGGAAAACAATGTCAAGTATCGAGACCAAGATCCTTCTGGGTCAGACACACATGACCTAGATAGGGTCTCCTGCTCACTGGGCCGCAGGCACTGCTGTCTGTGCCACTTTCTGAGTCCTGGCAAGGGAGGGACTGTGGCTAAGACTGAATGCTGGCTAGTCCCTCTCAGAGGACACTGGCCAGTCCTGTCTCCAACACTTAGACCTGTGTGTATGCTCACCTGGACCCTTAAAGAAACGGGACCGTAGCCAGAAGGTTGCCCTGCTCTTGTCACGTTTGGGCAGTGGTGGGCGGAGCAGAGTGTGGGAGGACCTGCCCCTATCACTGGCAGTAGGGCAGCTCAGGCTCTGTGGTGCGTGTGCACTGGACCCTCAGCCCCCTTTGTGCCGTTGGAGACCATCCTCCTGGCCACATGCTGGTCTTCGGTCCTGTGGCATCGGGACCAACAAGCCTCCCAGTCCGCTCTGGATTCCTGGAGTCCCTCCAGCTCTGTCTGGTGCCTGGCCCTTTGAGGTGAGCATCCCCCAGTGCTGCACCCTTGTCAGGGCACCTCACAGACTCAGCCCAACTCCGGCCTCCAGGCTGGGCTCAGGAAGCAGTGTGGTCACTGGCCCTGTAGCCGGAAGTGTGGGACCACAGCCCCCTTTCTCCCTAACCTCTTGACTCACCACCCAGACTCACTCTTGGTGGGCCTGGAACTGCTTCCCAGGAGCCACTCACTTCTGTGTTGCGTCCTTAATTCCTGGCCACTGACCTGCACCCAGGAAGTGGACCCTCAATGGAGCTTTGGATTCAGAAAGGCTGTGCCTGGCTGTGTGGGAGTGGCTTTGGGGACAGAGGAAAGTGGGAGGTGACAACAGGTGAGCAGGGCTTCCCCATGGGAAGAGACCTCTTGGCCTCTCCCCAGACCAGAGAGAACGTGGGCGGTCCCACTAAACGTGTCAGGCTTTGCGTCTTCTGCTCTTGTGGGAAAGCTCTGAGTTTGGAGTGATCTGTCTTACAGGGGAAGACACTGAGGCATGGGGGGCCGAGGGGTGACAGGACTGGGACTTCTGACGCCAGAGCTCCCATGCAAACTAGGGCAATCTCTGGACAGAGGAGCAAGCATGCACAGCCCTAGAGCTGAGGGATTAGGGCTTAGGGTCACTCTCCATGGTGACCATGCCTTTGGGTAGAGTGTGCTGCTTGGATCTGAAACTCTTCCAGGTGGTTCTGTAGGGGGTGAGCTCCAGCGGGTGGAGGTCTGGGGGATGGGCAGGTCTGATGAGACAGGCCAATGAGGTGGGACCATGTGTGGTCTTGGGAAGATGGGTGAGCAGATCTAAGGTCGAGAGGGGTGGTGTGGACAGGTCTTCAGGGGTTGAAATCCACAGGCAGTGTGTCTGCTGTGGGCAGTCTGTGAGGACAGGTCTGTGGGGTGAGGTCTGGAGGTGGGGTGTCTGCTGTGGGCAGTCTGTGAGGACAGGTCTGTGGGGTGAGGTCTGGAGGTGGGGTGTCTGCTGTGGGGTGTCTGCTGAGGGCTGCGGGGGACAGAGAGGAGTGCGAAGTGGCAGACGTGCTGGGACTTGGTGGGTGGGACTGTGGTTGGGACATTGCTGGTCCCCTGTGTCTCCACTGCACTGCCCTTGACGCTCGCAGACATTGTGGACATCAAGCCGGCCAACATGGAGGACCTGACGGAGGTCATCACGGCCTCGGAGTTCCACCCGCATCACTGCAACCTGTTCGTCTACAGCAGCAGCAAGGGCTCCCTGCGCCTCTGTGACATGCGGGCTGCCGCCCTGTGTGACCAGCACGCCAAGCGTGAGTGGACGTTCTGCACTGGGGACGGGGCAGTCACAGCCTGGGGGTGGGGTAGTGTACTCACTGCAGGCATCGAGCCTCGTGCTGTCACCACGGTCACAGCATTCTGGCCATCCAGGACCTGACTTGCCCGGAGATGGGGCTTCAAGGGCAGAGGGCTGAGAGCCCTGCATCTAGAGTTGGGGAGAGACCAGTCCCGTGTCACCTCCTCCAGGAGGCCCCCGGACCTGCCAGGTGTCAGGCTACCCAAGCTCTCTGTGTCCCTTGGCCACATCTAAGCACCCAGTTACTTGAGTTCTCAGTCATTCAAGTATTGTTAGAGATTTTTACTGCTGCGGGGGGAGGGAGTGGGTAGCGGCTGTGGTGGCGCTGAGGTACAGACATTAGACTGTTAACAGAAAGGCAGACGCCTTGAGCTCACCAGCTGTTCCCTGGAGCAAGACACAGCATCTGCTCACATGAACATGTGCAGCCTCAGAAACCATGTGGGCGGTTCTCCCACGTCCTGCAGGGTCACTGTGTGTCCAGAGCCACCCAGAAACAGTGGGTTTATCAATATGGGAAAATGTTGTTGTTAAGTGCTATCGAGATGCTTGTAACTCATAGTGACCCTGTGTACAATAGCCTTGAACCCTTCTCTATCCCATGCCAACCTTATTATCTCTGACACACCTACCCTCATTACCCAGTCACTGAGTCAACCCATCTCACCGAGGGTCTTCCTCTCTTGAGCTGTCCCTCCACTCTTCCAAGCATGACGTCCCTCTCCAAGGACTGGTCCCTCCTTGCAACATGCCCAAGTATATCAGACGAAGCCTCAGAATCCTTGCCTCCAATGAGCAGCCTGGTTTCACCCTCTTTAGGGTGAACTTGTTCTCCTGGCCGTCCATGGTGTATTCAACACTCTTCTCCAGCACCACAACTCAAAGACATCAATTCTCCTTCTATCATCCCTAGTCTTTGTCCAGCTTTCTGATACATAACAAGTAATTGAGAAGACCATGGCCTCGACCAGGTGCACCTTGGTCTCCAGACTGACATTGTTGCTAATCATTATTCCAGACAGGTCCCTAACAGCAGACTTTCACAATGCAATTTGTCTCTTGATTTCCTTGTTGCTGGTACCAAGAGTGTTGATTGTGGAGCCAAGCACATGGAAGCTGTTAAAAATCTCAATCTCTTCACCATCTATCATAATGATGCCAATCAGCCCAGTGGTGAGAATCTTTGTTTTCTTGATGCTGAACTTCAATCCATACTGAAGTCTGCAGTCCTTGACCTTCTGCGGCAAGCGCTTCAGGTCCTCCTCAGTTTCAGGAAGCAGGTTTGTGTCATCTGCATAACGCAGATGATGCCACATTTCTCATAGAGTCAAGCCTCCCACATAATCTGTTCTTCATATAGATTGAAAAGGTATGGAGATAGGACACATCCCTGGCGTACACCTTTCCCAATTTTGAACCATGCAGTGTTTCCTTGCCCTATTCTGATGACTGCCTCCTGGTCCAAGTATAGGTTTCGCATTAACACAATCAAGTGTTCTGAGATTCCCATTCTTTTCAGAGTCACCCAAAGCTTGTTGTGATCCACACAGTCAAATGCCTTTGCATAGTCAATGAAACACAGGTAGACATTCCTCTGGTACTCCCTGCTTTCAGCCAAGATCCATCTGACATTAGCTATAATATCCCTTGTGCCACGGCCTCTTCTAAACCCAGCCTGCACTTCTTGCAGTTCTCTGTAGATGTGCTGTTCCAGTCTTTTTTGGGATAATTTTCAGTAGAATCTTTCTTGGCATGTGATATTAGAGATATTGTTGATAATTTCTGTACCCCTGTCAGCTCTCCTGTCTTTACAATGGGAACAAATATAGATCTCTTCCAGTCAGTTGGCCAGCTGGCTCTCCTCCAGATTTCTTGGCACAACTTGGTGAGTGCATCTGTTTGTTCAAATATGTGAACTATTGATGGTATTCCATCAATTCATGGCCCCTTGTTTTTTTACCAGTTCTTTCAGCCCAGCTTGAACTTCTTCCTTCGTCACCACAGGCTCTTACTCATACGTTGTTTCATGAAATTATTCTGTCAGCCAATTCCTTTTGGTACTGCGACTCTGTATATTCCTTCCATCTTCTTTTAAAGCTTCTTGGATCATTTTACTATTCTGCCCAGAACATTCTTAAGTATTGCAACTGGAGGCTTGAATTTGTTGTTCAGTTCCTTCAGCTTAAGAAATGCTGAGTGAGTTTGGCCCTTTTGATTTTCCGACTCCAGCTCATTGCATATTTCATTATAATACTTTGTTTTCCCGAGACGCCCTTTGAAATTTTCTGTTCAGCTCCTTAATTTCTTCTCTTTGCTTTGGCTTCTCAGTGATCTAGTGCAATATTCTGTCTCTTCTGACACCCATCTTGGTCTTTTCTTCCTCCTCTGTCTTTGTAATGACCTTTTGCATTCTTCATGGATGATATTCTTGGTATCCTCCCACAGCTCATCTAGTCTTCACTCATTGGTGTTCAAGGCCTCACACCTGTTCCTGAGATGGTTTTGAAATTTGAGTGGGATAGACTCAAGGTCAAATTTTGTTTCCTGTGGATTTAATTTTCTTCAACTTCAGTTTGAACTTCCATATGAGTATTTGGTCTGTTCCATAATCAGACCTGGCCTAGTTTTCACAGCTGATATTGAACTTCTCCAATGATTCTTTCCACAGATGGAATTGATGTGATTTCTATGCATACCATCAGGTGAAATCCATGTGTATAGCCTCCATTTGTGTTTCTTATAAAAAGGATTTGCTTTGAATAATCATTGCTTGTACAGAATTCCATTATTCTATCTCCCGCTTCATTTCTGTCACCAAGTCCATGGTTTCCAACTCCTGATCCTCCTCCTTTCCTGTTCCCAACTTCTGTGTTCCAATCACTCATTATTATTTATGCATCTTGATTGCATGTTTGATCGAATTCTGATTACAAAAGTAACAAGTTTTAGTGACAGCTTTACCAAAAATAGAGAAAATTCTGGAAAGGCTGAGCACCCGTCTCAGAGCAGGGGCTGCAGAGAGCATCAGCTTGGGTGGTCTGCCTCCCTGCAGCCCCATCCACTCCCTGGAGCCCCGCCTGGCACCCCCTCAATCTCTGTCCACCCCCGGAGCCATGCCCAGAACCCCATCTACTCCCTGGACCCAGAACCCTATCCAGTCCCTGGAGCCCTGTCCTCTACCCTGGAGCTCTATCCATCCTCCTGGAGCTCAGTCCATCCTCCTGGAGCTCACTCCACCACCCCCTGGAACCCTGTCCACTGCCCTGGAGCTCAGTCCATCCTCCTGGAGCCCCGTCCATCCTTCTGGAGCTCAGTCTACCCACCCCGAACCCTGTCCACTCCCCTGGAGCTCAGTCCACCTGCTCCCTGGAGCCCTGTCCACCCCCCTGGAGCTCAGTCCACCCCCTTGGAGCCCTGTCCACCCTCCTGGAGCCCTGTATACCCTTTAGAGCTCTGTTCACCTGTTGGAGCCCCATCCACACCCTGGAGCCCTCCCTAGCCCCATCCCTGACCCATGTTCACTCCCCAGAGCTCCTTCCACTCCCTGGAGCCTTGTCTGCCCCTCCCCCCCGGAGCCATATCTGCTCCCCAGAGCCCCATATACTCTGGGATTCAGAGCTACATCTGCCCCTGGAGCCGTGTCCAGGCTCTGGAGGGCTGTTACAGCCCAGGAAAGGGCAGGAGGGACAGCTGGCTTTCTACCACCAGGCTATGAACTGTGCTTAGGTGATGTGAGGTCAGCGCCAGGCTGTTCCAGGCCTCCAGCCTTGCTGCCCTCGTTGATGACCGAGGGTGGGGTTGGACGGGCCTGTCCCCAAACCACTGTCCAGGCTGTGCCAATGCTTACAGGTCCACTTGCTGTGATCTCCCCTCGGCCAATTAAACACATCTCCTTACCTCCTGAGATGAGTTGGACAGCTCAGTGCTCCTGTCCTGTGTCTGCTCCTGGGGTTTTAAAACTTGTGTGTGTATCTCATGTGTCTTTTTGAGGGAGGCAATTATAATTATAGCCAACTCAATTTTTCCTATGATTACTGGCTTATATACCTTTTTATTTTAAAGTTAATTTTGTAATTTAAGGTTTTATAGAAAAAAGGTTTTGTTTTCTTTTGTTTTTCTTTAAATTCAGTATCTTACACAAGAGTGGTCTGTGGAATGCTGTAGGAGTCTGGATTGGGGATTCTGGGATGGTTCCAGAATGCTTTGGGATTCTGTTTTGGGGATTCTGGGGTTCTGGGATGGTCCCCAAACACTCTGGGATTCTGTGTTGGGCGTTCTGGGGTTTATGGATGGTCCCAAAACACTGTGGGGGTTCTGGGTTAGGGTTCTGGGGTTTTGGGATGGTCCCAGACACTGTGGAATTCTGGGTTGGGGGTTCTGGAGTTCATGGGTGTTCCCAGAACACTGTGGGGGTCTGGTTAGGTTTCTGGGGTTTTGGGATGCTCCCAGAACACTGTGGGATTCTAGGTTGGGGGTTCTGGGGTTCATGGGTGGTCACAGAACGCTAGGGAGTCGGAGTGGCAGCACACCCCTCACTCTCTCGGTGAGCTGACGTCTGTGGACAGAGACCTTAGAGTGTCTGTCACACACAGTGTTTGGTCACGTGGTGTTGACCCTGGTTCTTGTGAGAAGGTGGGTGAATGCTCGTGCACATGTTGGGCTGTGGTTACCGCGGCTTACCACACACGGACGTCTACACTAGACTTGGGGTTAGCCTCCCTGTCCCTCTGGATCCTGCCCTGTCTGGGTGTCCAGTGCTCGGGGGTGAAGCTCAGGGCTTTGTCCGGGGTGAGCGTGGTCTGTCCTGCAGACGGGTGAGGAGCTGAGCATGGGGACAGAGTGGGGGCTCCCTGAACACCTGTCCAGGCTGCCAGTCTTTCTCCTTAGTAGGAAACATCCTGTCCTTTGTTGGTCCGTCTTGTGACAGGGTAACCATGGGAACGACTGTCAGACATCCGTTAGGCAGTTATTTCAGCTCTTGCTAGCAGAGGCCGGCAAGGGCCTCTTAGGATCTGAGGCCACAGCAAATGCCCTTGGCGGCTAGACTGGAGGTCTGCGTCCACTCGAGGAGCCTGGGAAGGTTGGCTGGGCAGGCAGTGGGTGTCCAGAGTCAGCTGCTCAGGCTGTGGGTTCACCAGGAGTGTGCCTCATTTGGGATGTGGCCCACCTGGGGGCATGGTGCACCCAGGGGCGTGGCCCCAGGGGCGTGGCTCACCGGGGGCGTGGCTCACCGGGGCGTGGCCCCAGGGGCGTGGCTCGCGCCCAGAGGCGTGGCTCACAAGGGATGTGTGTCTGCTGGGGGCGGGGTACCAGAGGGGGTGGTCCCACAGGGGTCCTAATGTCTTCTCCTGGGAGTGGTTTCCCCAGGTGTGGTTCTGCTGGAGATGGGGCTCCACTGGGGCGTGGCTCATCAGGGACTCACCTGCATCGAGGCTGCACGGGATGGGGGTGTAGGCGTGGCCCCCACCGGCAGGTTAAGGGGCAGCATGGCTTCAGAGGACGTGGCTCAGTCAGAGAACTGGCTGCGTGGGGCAGGGGCATGTGGCTTTGTTGCGGGCGACCTAATGCCCCCTCCTGTCTCTCATGGGCTCCTGTGGTTATCCCGCCCCTTGGGCAGTCCAGGACTGCGTACCCCGCTTTTTGTGTTCTGAGACCCCTTCTTGAGGTTGGTCTGCAGCCACAGGTGAAGTGGTGTTGTATTCATATCAGTCAGCATTCCGGCTTCTGCCTCTGCTGCCAGGGGGCCGCGGCTGTTCCGGAAAATTCCCTGCGTGAGAGGGGCCTTCTAGCCTTCCCCAGATCCCTCCCTCCTGTGTTGGGACTTCGTGGTCCTCACTCCCAGGGAGGACCCTCCCATGACTAGCATCCCTTTGTCCATTGCTGGGTCTCCTCTGCCTGCTGGCCTTAGCGTGTCCAGTCCAGGGTGTGGCACATTCATTCTGACCATTTCTTCCAGCTGTACTCCAACGTCACCTCCTGGTGTCCTGTCCACCAAGGTGAGCCCTTCCTACTGCCTCCACCCAGACACGGGTCCCTTAGGGCAGCAGAGGTATCTATCTCGCTGCCATCTCATGTCCACCCTTGTGACAACAGTGCTGGCTCAGAGGACCCAGGCATGGCCTTGGCCATGGTGTTGTCTGCAGGACTTTGAGCATGTCAGCACACAGTCATTCTTTAGTAGGGATGGATGAATAAGCCAATGAATGAATGAGTGAATGAGCAGTTGAACAAATGAGCAGATAATGAGTGGGTGAATAAGTGGTGGAGTGAGCATGTGGGTTCACAGGAGTGGTGGTTCTGTGTGGGTGTGTCCCACCACTCTGCCCAGCTGGCCAGAGAGGGCCACATCTCTGCTCCAGCATCAGAGAGAGAGAAGGGGGGAGAATGAGGGAGAGTGAGGGAGAGAGGGAGGGAGGGAGAGCGAGAGGGAGGGGTGGAGAGAGAGTGAGAGGAAAAGAAGAGGGAGACATGGTAGACTGAAGGGCTGGAGCAGATCTGGAGTCTTGGGTCATCCTCTTGGAGATGAACGGCAGGGCTGTGGGGAAGGAGGAGCTTGTGAAATTGCTCAGCTCCTCTGCCTCCCTGTCTTCAGCCTGGAGTCTCAGAGCACCGGGGCCAGCAGGCAGGTGCCACTCCTCTGGTTGCAGTGGGCACCATCAGCTAAGGTGTTCCATCAAGTGCCCCCATCTTACCATCTAAGCAGCCCCACCATCCCACTCTCTTTTCATGAACCCTGGTCCTGGATAAACACTAGTGGCCTCATGCTTGACCCTGCAGGGGCCACTGCTGGATCCCACTGGACAGTGAGTATGCTTGTAGGGGAACTGGCAGGGGACAGCGTAACAGACATGTGGCCACCCGTTTGGTCCGAAAATCATCTGGGTAGGGAAGCAAGCCACTCCCTTCAGGGGTCAGAAAGCATTCCCTGTGTGTCCAAGATAATGGGAGTGGGTAGCAAACAGGAGACTCAAGCCTCCCAGTGGGTGGTGAGACAGGGTGGTGTAGACCCCCTGACAGCCAGAGCCCAGCATCCGGAGAGCGCAGCTGTGGGCCCACAGACAGAGAAGGGCTGTTTCGAGCAGCCTGATGAGCACTGGCGAGCGTGTTCAAGAACGTCAGGACACTCCGGCAGTCCTGGTGCTCAACACCTGCGGTGTCATGGCTAAATGCACTCCTAATTCACAGCCTTCTAACACTGAGGCCCCAAACATGGCCTCCAGTCATCTGCGACACAGAAAGAAGTGCTGCTGGCCTGAGAGTTCAGTGAGGGGTTACATGAGAACAAGCACAGAGGACTCACCAAAGCACCAGACTCAGAGTAACTTTTAACTAATTGTGTTTCCACAATGAGCGCTTCTAGAGCAGATTCTCTGTGCTTTGGAGGTTCTGAAAGGACCTTCAGATGGTGGATAGGGGAATGGATGGATGAAAGCTAGAAGATGATTGCATAGGCGGGTGGATAGGTGGAAGAGTGGCAGATAAATAGGTGGGTGAATAGATGGAAGCTGGGTGGGTATATAGACAGGTTGGTGGACAAATGGGTGGATTGGTAGATGGATGGGTGAATGGGTAGATTGGATAGTGGGTGGTGGATGGATGGATACGTAGGTGGATGGGTGAAGTAGATTGATGAATGAATGGTTGAGTAGACAGGTAGTTGGATGGAAGAATGGATAGATAGATGGGTGGACAGATTAATTAGTACGTGGGTAGATGGATAGTTGGGTGGATTGATGGATGGATTGGTGGGTGGATGGGAGGGTAGGTAGATGGATGGATAAATAGGTGAGTGGACAAAGAAGTAAATGTAAGAGTAGATGGAAAGTTGGGTGTGTGAATGGATGGGTGAATGGGTGGATATGTGGGTAGATGAATGAATGAATGAATGAGTAGATGCATGGATGGATGATTGGGTAGACTGCCAGATAGGTTGGTGGATAGGTGGTAGGTAGGTGGATGAATTGATGGATGAGTAGGTGAGTGGATGGATAATTGGGTGGATTGATAGATAGGAGATAGGTAGGTGGATGGAAGACAGATGGATTCTGGGTGGATGGATGAGCAAATGGCTGGGTAGATGGAGAGGTGGGTGGATGGATGAGTGAATAGGTCATAGGAGGGTAGATGGATATATGCGTGGATGGATGGGTGAGTGGATGGGTGGTAGGTGGATTGATGAGTGAATAGGTGTTAGGATGGATGGATAGATAGATGAGTGGATAGGTCGTAGGATGGATGGTTAGATGAGTGGATAGATAGGTGGGTGGATGGATGGATGGATGGATGGATGGATGGATGGATGGATGAGTAAATAGGTGGTAAATGGATGGATGGATATATGAGTGGATAGGTTGTAGGTGGATGGATGGACAGATGACAGACAGATGGGTTCTGGATGAATGAACGGCTGGACAGAGTTGGTGGAGGGGTGGGTGGCTGCCTGGCCTGCCCATTGGGTAGGAGCATCCCCTTGATGTCTGTTACTCTCTGTCCTCCCAGTCTTTGAGGAGCCTGAGGACCCCAGTAACCGCTCCTTCTTCTCAGAGATCATCTCCTCAGTGTCAGATGTTAAGTTCAGCCACAGTGGCCGGTACATGCTCACTCGGGACTACCTCACCGTCAAGGTCTGGGACCTGAACATGGAGGCGAGGCCCATTGAGACCTACCAGGTGAGTGTCACAGCTGAGCAGCCTTAGGGTGGCAGGCTCTGTCATCAGAGACCCCTCCCCAGCCCCACTCCACGGTGGTCCCCGAGTGCCTGCAGTACAGGTGACACGGAGGTCTTTAGTGGAAAAGGGAGGCCCTCGGCGGGAGAGGGGCTAGGCCTGATTCAGGGTGCATGTGCCCAGGGTCTCCGCTGGGGAAGAGCTTGGCCCTGATATAGGGCCATGCATTCCAGGTCCTCACTGAGGGGTGGTCTGGGCCTGATTTAAGGGCATGCACCCAGAACCTGTTGGAGGGTGATGGCACTGACTTAGGGTGTGTGTTTCCAGGGTTTCAGTGGAATGGGCCACCTGAATCAGGGTGTGTTCTGTTGTGCACCATGTGGGTTAAGTGGTACCCTCCCCAGTCAATGCCCCAGGCGGGAGCACTGAGGTAAAGGGGGTTCCAAAGCAGATGGGGACCCTGCCCGTTACATGGGGGGTTTGCTCAGGCTGGAAGGGTCGTTGCTGTGATGTGTCCAGGTACGTTTGCTCACAGTTGGAAGGGCAGCCTGCAGAGGAGTAGACGGGTGCTTTGCCAATTTCCCACCAAATCACGTCCTGCTTTAATCGGCTGATGTGTGTTTTCAGTAATGGAAGGCATGCCGATATCAAAGGCAAACCTTTAAATAAGCTAATGTAAATTTTGACACCATTCTGTGGCCAGGTGTGTCCCAGGCAGGTGCTGCCATGGGGCTTGGGGTGAGACAGGCACCCCACCAGGGACATGCTCCACGACCAGGGGATCTGAGTCTCAAGAAACTGGAGGGAGAAAGTGTTGGCAGGAGACATAGTGAGAGCTGCTCCCAGCTCAGCCTCAAGCCCAGAAATCTGGAGCTCTTCCTGGAGGAGGTGGCCTTTGCCTTGGGTCTGGCAGGATGAGCAAGAGTTAGTTGCACAGAAGTGACAGGAAAACTTGCCCCTGGAAGCCCCGCGCAAGCTGGAAACCTGCACACAAGACCAGTCTCAGCCAGGGGAGCATTCACTCTCCGTGCTCCCCACCAAGGCCTGGGACAGGGGTTCCTAGGGGCCACAGGGCCTGGGGGAGGGGTACAGGCCTCAGAGGGCAGAGTGCTCTGGCCTGACCAGGACACACTTAAAGCTCCTGAGGTCCTACAGGACACTGGGGGGTTTCCTCGTGGTTCTGCAGCCCCTGACTCCCCACCCCAACTGAGTGGTCCAGGGGTATTGGTCCTCTGTCTCCCAGAAGCAAGCAGTGAACCTGCTCAGGCCAGCAGAAAGTGATTGCGGCTAACCCACTAATTCCCTTGGCCTTCCGCACAGTACAGGCTGTGGACCCCTCACCCAGCAGACCATGTTGTGGGGAGAGGGCTGGTACCTGTCAGGAATTCAGGGAAAGAAGAAGTGCTGAGGGACAGGGCCCGAGTCAGAGTTCTGGGGTTCTGAGTGGGCTGATCAGCTGACCCTAAGATTACTGTAGTTAGTTACCATCGGGGAACAGGGAAGCCATGATTATTCACTGCTCAACAGTGGGCTGTGATTGAACAAGAAGGTGTCCACCTTTGGGCTGACTTCTCCCCACAGTGCTGTGCAGGACAATGGTCAGGAGAGGCGAGTGGCCCCATGACCCCCTCAAAGCCCGGACCCAGCCCACGTATCTAGGTCTTGGCTTCCCACCTCCCTGTGGAATATACCTCGTGGTCCTAGAACGACCGCTGTGCCCCCAGACAGCACACCTTCATCCTAGGCAGGAAGGAGGAAGTGAGAACAGTTGCACAGCTGGGTTTGCCACAGCTTTTGCCAGGATGGCTGGAGCCGGGGGCGTTGCCACATTGCACTGCTAACTGAAAGCCCACCAATATGGAATCTCCTTCCATGGGAGGAGGACAGTGGCCTCTGTTCAGACTGCTATCCTGGGGGCCCTGGCCCAGGGCTACTGTGAGTTCTCAGAACTCATGGCTAAACTGGGTGGCCCTGGACAGTGGGGAGGCAGCTGTCCTGCCAGAGAGGAGGATTCAGGAGAAGAAGGTGGGGTTGAGTGAGCCAAGGCCTGGCACACTTGGCCTCCGTGAGTTCTGGAGTTGGGTGGGTGTCCCTGACCCGGTATTATTTGAGGAAGATTGAATTGAAGGATAGTGATCTTGGGAGGCGCCTGCGGTCCTCCTTACCTGCCACTGGAGGGCAGGAGAGAGCAGTGTTTGGACGTGCGCAGACTGCAGGGGTGCAGGTGGAGCTCAGCACCTGGAACCTGGCTCACAGGTCTCCCTGAGCTCAGCCCTGCCCAGAGCCCCGCTGTGCACTCCCCACTCCCCCCAGAGCTGCAGAGCCCAGAGGCCCTGATGGCCAGGGAGGGCGCAGCTGCGACGAGCCTGCTGTTCCTGTTGGTGGATCTGTGCATGCGATGGACACAGCCCGGCCTTCTGTGCTGGGGGCAGGGCAGGATGCCTGGACACCTCACTGCCTCCTCTGCCCCTTCAGGTGCACGACTACCTTCGCAGCAAGCTCTGCTCCCTGTACGAGAATGACTGCATCTTCGACAAGTTCGAGTGCGCCTGGAACGGAAGTGACAGGTGAGGAGCCTGGGGCTCACCTGCTGAGGGCTCCTGCCCCTGCCCCTGAGCCTCTCCAGGAGGACAAGGGGGGGCGAAGCTGGTTCCATGTTCCATGTGCTCACAGTGGAACTGCCTGATTCTGTAACCTGGTGGCCACCGGAGCCCCTTCTCTGAGGAGGTCAAGGAAGGTTCATCCGGCCCTCTGACCCCATGTCCTTCCCACCCTGTCACTTTCCTGGGGTGACCACCTGCCTGAGACAGCCCTCCTTCACCCAAGCTGTATGTCAGGCCCACTGAGGTGAGGTCACAGCTCCTGCGACCCACGGACCAGGGTCCCCTGAGCCCCTGCCTGGATATCCTAACACTGGAGGATAGGATGCCCACCTAGGGCCCCAGCCTGTGGTCAGGAGCCCACCCCTGCATCCCACCCCTCTCTCTGCCTCCCCCCCACCCCTGTGTCCCATCCCCTTTCCCCATCTCTCCCTCCTCCCCTGCTTCTCTCCCCTCTCCCCCTCCCCCGTGTCTCCTCCCCACCTCATTCTTTTATCCCTCCATGACTGACTCCCCCTTCAGCCCTGTCTTCTTCCTGATAACCCCAAAACACAGAGCCTTAGGTTTCAGTTTGTGGGGCTGGGACTCTGAAATGTGGACACAGCCTCACTGCCACTCAGGGCTTTGCTTTCCAAGCTCATAGCTGAGAAGGATGGGTCCCTGAGTGACCACTTTAGCTCCTCCACAGTCCAGTGGGGCCCAGGAGGCAGCAGGGCTGGGCATCCAAGAGGAATTCATCTTCAGAGATGGCAAGACCCGATGTCAGACTGGGAGCAGCTACCCGGTTTCCACAAACCTGTCAGCACACCTGCGTGACCTGGCTGCGATCACAGGGGCAGGGCATGGGGGTGGGAGGAGGCCGGGACAGAAGGAGGTTTCTGTGCATATGTGTCTAGGGGTTCTAATGCCTGAGGGGCTCACTTGGACGCAGAGGGGGAGGAAACAGGGGTCCATGTCCCTGTCACTCTTGAGGTCTCCCCACCCTCTTAAAAGAGGAAGTATCAGACCTAGAGAAGGAGGGATTCCCCTACCTCATAGTGCTGTGTGCTGGGTTCCCCCAGGGGTCCCCATAGCCTATATGCCAGCTCGCCTTTCCTCCAAGCAGCCACCTGGGGGCAGTGGTGACCAGCCAGAGACGCGAGGTTGGAGGCCAGAGAAGGGGACTGGAGCTCACAGGGGCCACACTGCCCACTCACTGTTTCCACCTGAGACCTCGCCCCCTGCAGGCACACCTGGGGCTCCTCCCCCTACAGGTGCACCTGGGACCCGCCCCCTGAAGTGCACCTGGGTCCCCCCTCGCCTCCTGCAGGCACTCCTGAGGCCCTGCCTCCTGCAGTGCACACCTGGGGCCCCACCTCCTGCAGGGACCAGGACTCCTGTAGCACACCTGAGGCCCTGGAGCTGCTCCCCAGGTGACCCCCTGACCCCCACCTCTCCTGCCAGCGTCATCATGACTGGGGCCTACAACAACTTCTTCCGCATGTTCGACCGTAACACAAAGCGGGACGTGACCCTGGAGGCCTCGCGGGAGAGCAGTAAGCCCCGCGCTGTCCTCAAGCCGCGGCGCGTGTGCGCAGGGGGCAAGAGGCGGCGTGATGACATCAGCGTGGACAGCCTGGACTTCACCAAGAAGATCCTGCACACGGCGTGGCACCCAGCTGAGAACATCATCGCCATCGCGGCCACCAACAACCTGTATATCTTCCAGGACAAGGTCAACGCCGAGATGCAGTAGGTGGCAGAGTCGCTCGGATGGGGTCAGGCACCTAGGGAGGAGGGGGAGACGGGAGGAGGGGCTGTGTGCGGGGAGGAGAGCAGCCCGCTGCCCTGTCCACCTCGGATGCCAAGTTGCCCACACCCAGGCCACCCGCCTGCTTGGAGAAGAACAGTGAGGCTGGGCCTTGGCCAGCTTTTCCAGCTCAGATTCTCAAAGCCTCTGCTGTCTGGGTCCTGGATTTTCTCAGAACTCCCTACATCTCACCCAATTTCTCCCTCCAGGAGCTGATGGGGGTCTCTCCTGCCTCCCACCTGGTGGTGACAGGTTCAGCTGCGGCGACAGAGTCTGTGGGTGCCCTTGAAGAGGCGTCCGCCAGTCAACAGAGCTCTGTGGAGTGGACTCAAGCCGAGCGTTTGCAGACGTGAGCCCCTTGGTTAGGTTCTGTTGTGTATTTCAACACCAGAAGGCCACCTCAGCATTTCTGAGCAGAGGGCCACAGGCCAGCAGTTGGTAAGCCTGTTGGTTTCCCTACCTGGGCTCACTGCTGCCCTGCGCCAGGCCTGTGGCCGGCCCTCCACAGGCCGCAGAAGTTGAGGGCTTCATCACTCTTAACTTCTCTCTCGGGAGACCATATGGAGTTGTGCTGTTAATCCAAAGCCTCAGTCTCTCAGGAGGCTCACGTCCCCCAGCAGCTCAGGGAGAAAGAGGCCAGCTCCAGCCTACGACTTGGCCGCAGACGCCTGCTGCAGGGCCGCAGTCGTTTCACACGTGACGGCAGAGTGTGAGTGTCTTAGCTTCTCTGTGGCTTCTCCTCATCAGTGGGCACCTGCATCCCCATGCCGTCCCTCACACACCTGTCCTCACTGAGCGCCCAGCCCGAGCTGTACCCACTTCAGTGTCATATGAGTGAGTTACCACCGTTCATTCTCATACGCGAGAAAGCGGAGGCTCCAGGTGACCGAAAGCCTGCCCGAGGCGCATGTCAGCCAGGCCTGGAGCTGGGGAGCCACCCAGGGAACGCCCCCAGGACACTGTGCTGATGGGTCCTGTGGATGCCACGTTCTAGCCTGGAAGGTTCGGGAAGACTGTGGAAAAGAACCACTCTTCAACCTAAGAAGTAAGACTGAATAGGTGTGATGGTGGCCCACGGAGAACCGCGCCCAGGACCGGAGGATGGAGAAGCCCCTGGGGTTTCCTGCCATGCTGGAGAACTTCAGATGCTGACCTTGAAAGACGCCTCACCTAACTCCCCGGTCACACCCATAGCTCCTTTTTCCAGGCAAACTGAACTGCCTCCAAAAAAAAATTGCATGTTAGGACCATTTTAGAATACATTTTTTCTTAAGGACTCCGTGTCGGGGGGTTGCTTTCTTCAGGAGCACCCCTTTGTGACAGACCATGGAGTTTCAATGGCTCCTCATTCCCTCTACGCTCACCAGCCTGCTCCCACTCCTCTCCTGAGCCACAGACTCCCCACAGAACCACCGGCTTCACGTCAAGCCCTGGAAGCAGGTGCAGACAGAGGCCTGCACAATCTAACCTTTTCTACAAGACGTAATCCAGCCCAGGAAATAGACTTCAGTGTCACAGCACAGAGATGCGTGCTTTCTGTGAGGAGCTACCAGTGAGAAGTCAGGTGTCTCACTTCCGGGGCGTGCCCACCTCTGGGGGTGTTCACTCCCAGGGT